TAGCAGCAATCCCCCATCGTCTCAGCAAGGATAGGACTGGGGCCAAGACCTTGGTAAAACACCTGGGGAGCAAAGGCCAGACTGAAGGGCAGCACTACAAACTGACAATATGTATCCCCGAGGAAATGCTAATGCCCCTTGCAGACGGGAATGTGCACATGCGGGTCCTTGATGACCATAGAAGCCAGAAGATTCCCCAGTGAATGGAGGTCACCACCAAGCGACTGGGTTCCATCTGTAATCTGTGAACCCACCTGAAGGCCTTCAAGGGCCCTGAGGTCCGGGATCAGGTGAACTTTGGCCGTTTTGGGAACTGTGAACAGATCAGAAGAAAAGCCCCAGAACCGCTCAGACTAGAGCACCGGAACAACCACTCATTGAAGGAATTCTGAACAACCCCGTACAGAGTCCGCAGAACGGGCTGACAAGAGCCATAGATCGAAGGGGAAAAGACCTGTCTGGTGGAAAGGGACAAATTCTATTTGGGAGCCTAAGACATTGATTTCGCTGACCCACTTGTCAGGGATGAGGGAAGGCCACGTGCCTGGAAACCAGCGAACTGGAGGCCTATAGCAGAGAGGTGAGTCTTATGCTCAGAGAAGACTGCCCATAGGAGATGCTTAGTTTTTTTTTTCTGCCTAGTGTCCGGCTCCTGTACCTGAGGCTATAAAACCATGTTTGGTCATGAATTAAGAGGGCTGTGCCTGTCAATGACCGTAAGAGAAATGCAGATTGCTGTAGATTGAAGTTCTCAATTGATATATATTTGTAATATAATATATGTATATTGTGGGAACTCGCTTCAACGTGGTAGAGCTTTTAAACGCAAACAGCTACTCGCTTTCTTTTTCAGGGCCTTTTTAGCCCACTTTTATTTAAATGAAAGTTCAAACAGAAGTTTCCCACACAGGGGTATCGATCATCCACAAAACACAACGGTTCAGCCTCCTGGCTTACACTCAGCTTGCTGTATGTCTCCTGCAGACTTCTTCCCAAAAATATGGCACTTGCACACCGCTGGCCTCTAGCACACAGCTAGTCTCTAGCTGCCCCTTGCTGCTTTTGGCTTCCACCTCTCCTAGGTGAAGCCCACCTGACTTCCAGGCAGTGACCTCCTGTCTTCCAAGTGGAGCCCTCCTGACTCCTATCTGCCGGGGTGGAGCCCTCCTGACTCCTATCTGCCGGGGTGGAGCCCAGAACTCTGGTCCTGACTCTATCTAAAGGCCTGCACACACCTGTGCAATCAGTCTCCTGGCCATTCCCAAAACCTGGTCCCAGGATTGGAGATTTCATCCCTCCCAGATCTCTTTGAAATCTCCAGGCTCCAGATCCCAAAACAGACCTTACAAACAAAGGAGGAAAGTGAAAAGCCACTTTCCTCCGTATCAAACACTTACCCTGGTGCCCCTCAACCTGCCTTGTTAAGAATCCAGGGTGACAGATCGCCACACTGTCACAATATACATATACACAGAGCCTTGAAAAAGTATTCATACCCCTTGAAATCTTCCACATTTTGTCATGTTACAACCAAAAACCTAAATGTATTTTATTGGGATTTTATCTGATGGACGAACACAAAGTGGCAAATAATTGTGAAGTGGAAGGAAAATGATAAATGGTTTTCAAAATTGTTTATAAAAAAAAATCTGAAAAGTGTGCATTTGTATTCAGCACCTGCACCCGCCCCCCTCTTTAAAATAAGATAAAATTTACCCAAGACCAAGCAGGGAACAATAAAGCACAATGCTAAGAAGGAAACTTGCCAGCTAATAAACAAATATGGCTGCCCCATATTCACCTTTTTACAAAAAATAATAAATGCACATTTATTATGTTTTATTTCTGGATTGCTGGTGCCATGCACGTCTCCTGCAGATCTGTCAGTATATCCGCTTGCCTGTATGGGATGTACGAGCAAGCAGATATACTGACAGGAATAATCAATGAACTACCACGGCACTCCATAGCGCCGTGGTAGCTCATCAAGAATTACAAGCCGACAGCTGCAAAGGCTGTCGGGACTTGTAGTTCATTCATTCACAGAACACCACAAATGAATGACGTGGCCGAATGGGCAGAGCCCCGCACGTGGTTTTTTACTCTGTAACAACCAGTGGGGAGGAGAAGATCCCCCGCTAGCTGTCACAACGGGGATGGGAGGTGCAGGGGCCGGTCTACTCGTAACATGTTCCACCATGAATATGGGGGTAACATGTTACGAAAGGTGAACTTATCCTTTAAAATATTAAGGGCTCTTGCATTTGGGTCGCTGAGCCTCTTCAATGTAAATTCTGTCATGTCAATCTGCATGTCTGGAAGGCCCAGGTGCTGTGTACAGGCTTCCATAGTCATGAATAGCTGTATTCTCGATATTTGGTTGTGCTGTCGTAAACACCAGTATAAAATATTGGTATATGCAAAATAAATGAAACTACGATCGTGATTATGTGAGTATTGCCATACACCTGGAATACAACTGCGCCCTGCTGCTATTCAGGTCTATGGGAAGTCCTACGCAGCACCTGGGCAGGGTATAAATTGTAGAATTTTCCTTGACCAGGCTCAGGCACCTGTGTGCAAGAGACCTAACACACATGGATGAGACTGTGTTAAATTCTTCTGCTTCACATCCCAGACTATAAATTATGCAGCGTTGTTGGATTTTATGACTCTGTAAAGGCAAAAGTTGGGTTAAAATTCTATTTAAGCAATAACTTTTCCTGCTCTTGTTCTTAGTTTTTCTTAGTAAACAGGAAACGAAGCTGCTAATTTTAGGGTTAAATTTAGTTTACACAAAACAGCTGCGATCATCTACTTCTACTGCTGCAATAGAAAGATGATGGTATTATTCATATGGCACTGGTGTGTTGATGCTAAAGGCAAGTCCCATTTGGATGCAACTCTCTTTCTGCTCAGTTTCGGTCCTGATACTCTTGTTGTTTGTTTCACCACAGCTGATAACACAGCATGGGGAAGGTGTGTGTCTGCTCTATGCTGACGACAAGTGATATCTACTGTGGGTGTCATCATCATGTTCCCTGAAACTGCTGTCAGTGTTATTGGACAGGGATATCCAGTAAGTGGGCTTTATATGTTTGTCGTGTCTTTTCAGAAAAGTGTTTTGTTTTATGTCTTTACCAGAAAAACTCAGCTAAGTTATAGTTGTATATAAAACGGTCACATAACAGAACACCAGTATAGTTTTAGAATAATACCAAAAAAGGGCATAACTTTTAATTGTAATTCATGTGTATGTCCACTTGTTTTACACATTGTGTAAAAACATGTTATCTGAACAAATCCAAAACTCTTTGCTTAAGTGTTTTGTTTTTTTCAGTGCTATATCGTTAAGATTGTAGTCTTTGTCCTGCCTGTATTGTCATTTTGATTGACCGTGGGGCAAAAAAGATGCCAACATATTAATAGGGATTACCCCACATGTATCTGGTAGGTAAAGGCATGTTGATGCCATTAAACTTCCCAACCCAGTTGAAGCAGTATGATTTTTATTTTTCAAGCTTTTAGTGTAGTAAAGGAGTTGGAAGCTTTGTCAAGTGTCTTGGATTACAATTTTCCCTTTCATTGGCAGAGAAAGTCTTTCCAACAGAGGGGAAAAAAAAAAAAAATCAGAGGTCCTGTTCCACTCCAATCAGTTTTAGCTGGACGTTTACTTTAACAACACAGTAACACATATATTGGGCAGCACAGTGGCTAAATGGTTAGCACTTCCGCCTGGCAGTACTAGGGTCGTTGGTTCGAATCCCAACCACGGCACCTCCTGCCTGGAGTTTGCATGTTCTCCCTGTGCCTGTGTGGGTTTCCTCCGGGCACCTCGGTTTCCTCCCACACTCCAAAGACATGCTGGTAGGTTAATTGGATCCTGTCTAAATTGGCCCTAGTATGTGTATGTATGAATGTGAGTTAGGGACCTTAGATTGTATGCCCCTTGAGGGTTAGGAACTGATGTGAATGTACAATATATATGTAAAGCACTGCGTAAATTGACTGCGCTATATAAGTACCTGAAATAAATAAATAAATATATGCGGCATCCAGGAGGTGGGCTTTATGGCCTGGGCACAGCATATGTGTGTTCTTATGTTTGTGCTGGGAGAGCGCTCTCAGCACAGAGACCGAGCACCTCACCAAGAGCCCTGGGTCTCATACTAACAGTCTGGACCTGGGACTCTTGCTTCCTGCATTGCATTTCTGCATTGCATTTCTGCATTGCTGAGCCATACAAAGCAGTGTGCTTACAGTTAAACACACGGCACACATCGTGAAACAGCACAAAGTTAACGCTTTGATTTCCCCAGATGTTAACCCCTTCCTGCCCAGTGCAATTAGTACAGTGTCAATGTTTTTTATTAGCACTGATCACTGTATTGGTGTCACTGGAGATGTCAGTGACACCAAATCAGTTCCCCACAGTGTCAGAATGCCCTCCACAGTCCCTCTATAAGTCGCTGATCGACACCATTACTGGTAAAAGAAAAAAAAAAATCCAATATATACTGCCATTTGTAGACGCTATAACTTTCACGTAAACCAATTAATTTACATGCATCGGGATTTTTTTTTTTTCAGCAAAGACATGTAGCAGAATACATTCTGGCCTAAATTTATGCAGAAATTAAATTTTTTTTAAATTTTTTTACTGAACGTGTTTCATAGCAAAAAGTTAAAACTTAGGGTTTTTTTTCAAAATTGTTGGTCTTTTTTGTTTATAGCGCAAAAAATAAAAAACGCACAGGTGATCAAATACCACTGAAAGAAAACTCTATTTGTGGGGAAACCAAAAAAAACAAATTTCATTTGGGAGCAGTGTTGCATGACCGTGCAATTGTCAGATAAAGTAATGCAGCGCTGTATCGCAAAAAATGGCTTGGTCAGGAAGGGTGGTAAATCCTCTGGAGGGCAAGTGGTTAAAGACACTTTCTCGAACCTGAAGTAGAGTAATCATTCTGAATGGCATTTTTGTATAAGTGTGTACTCACATATCCGGTCATCCAGTGCTGGCACAGGTGTTGGCGTGGTTTCCGTCTCTGTGCTCTGATTCTCCTCTAATGTACATCTTTGATCATCCATCCGGTTACTCTGAAATTTACTCAAGAGGTCAAAGAAACATTCCTCGTCCGATGGCGCCCGATTGATTTTCTGCAAGACAGTTCAGGGAAGATAATTTAATACGGATTTCCCTGCCTCTCCTGGGCCTTCTGCGCTTGCTTCCATACAAATCAATGCTTGATGATTCCCCCATTTACAGCCACTATTGATTCATGACAGCATTTGCTATGACAATACTGCAGTGGCTCTGCTAGAAAGAGCTCTGGACTGTAATGTGTTATTAAGAAGGATGGTAAAAAAAAATCTGTCCTAATAAATATTAAAAAATAAAGTAGTGCTTCTTTTTATTGTACATTAAAGTCTAAGTGCAGCCAAAAGTGGCAGTGGGTGTACACACAAGCTGAATGTCGGACAGTTTATATTGAACAGGCCGATACTGGGCCCGTGTGTATGGGGCTTTAGGAATGTGGAATGTTATTCATAACTAGAAAAGCTACAATTTCTGGGGAAATTGTGTGAAGTGTTCTTGCCTCCACCAGTAGTCTACAACTGGAGTGGGCAGAGTAGCTTTTGTCACTCTGCTGCCTGCTCACACACCGGGGTTCCTATGGCAACTCACTCTACAGCAAGGGCAGAGGAGCGATTAAAAACAAACTGCTCCAGCTTGCTCACTTCACTGGCAGTTGCCATCTTCAAACGGTTGTAGTTTTAAAACTATATAACTCCTACAGCGAAGAGCTTTATATTGTGAGAATCACAAGATCCAGTACTACATTTGCTTGCATAGTATGTCTCTGAAATATTAAAAATGAAGGCACAGTTGCAGTTTAGAAATTGCCCTTCAAATTTCAGATGGCTAGAGTGGAGTTTCAATGAATGTCAATGGGCGGCGTGAGTTGCAAACAAATGGTCATATTGTGAAAAAACTATCAGGGCTATGGCTTATCCGTGGACATTTTTAGTGGCAGCAGGGATAGCTGAACGTTTTGATATAAGATTTGTGTAGGTGGGGTTGAAAATGAGGGAGTGATGGCAGTTTAGAAATCATGTCCTGATTTTTCATCTCTAGCTTTTGTCAGCTCACACTCTAGTTTTGAACATTGTGCCATTCATTCCTATGGGACTAATTTCACAACAAAAACGGCGATATTTCGTGAACCACTCGACGAAACATTCCACAGAGTAATAGCACACCAATCGGAACAATCCGCACGTTTCGGTATATTGCTGTCTATGTAGTGTAAAAACTGTGGAGGAGTTAGGGTGGTAAATTTGGCTATAATAATAAGAATATATATGTGAGATAACAGTAAGTGGTCTTGCCATGCAACAACACTTAAATATAAACAAACATTCACGTTACAAGATCTGTAGTGAAAATACTTTCTACACAGACTCTGTGCCACTGCCCCACCTCCTAATAGGTAATGTCACCCCATTAGTGCTGCCCACCCTGAGCTTTCTTTTTCCTGTAAGCCCCTCCTTTCTTCAGATTGGAAGCAGCCACTAACTGCACGCCTGATTCAAAGCTGGTATGCAACAACTCTTTAAGATATAAATAAACTGGCTGAACTAAAAAAATATTTCACAAGGTCTGATAGAAAACACAAGTGATATTAAGGATTTCGGTTTGTATATTCACAGCTGGAGTTCTTTCAGCTATGGTTCGCGCTTTTCAAAAAGTAAAACATATATTTTATATATGGCATATTAACAGCAAGTTAGGATGGCAGAGAGAGTTGGAAAAATTGGCATAGTACCAAAACAAAATCAAAATCTCTCCCTACAGTTTTCCCCAATCAACATCCAGTCACATACCAATAAATGCGACAACTTTAAATTCTTTCTTGGCTGTGGTCTGTATTTAAAGAGTCTGCTTCACAAGTTGACATTTACAGTATCTCACAGAAGTGAGTACACCCCTCACATTTTTGTAAATATTTTATTCTATCTTTTCATGTGACTACACTGAAGAAATGACACTTTGCTACAATGTAAAGTAGTGAGTGTACAGCTTGTATAACAATGTAAATTTGCTGTCCCCTCAAAATAACTCAACACGCAGCCATTAATGTCTAAACCGCTGGCAACAAAAGTGAGTACACCCCTAAGTGAAAATGTGCAAATTAGGCCAAATTAGCCACTTTCCCTCCCTGGTGTCATGTGACTCATTAGTGTTACAAGGTCTCAGGTGTGAATGGGGAGCAGGTGTGTTAAATTTGGGTTTATCGCTCTCTCATACTGGTCACTGGAAGTTCAACATGGCACCTCATGGCAAAGAAATCCCTGAGGTTTTGAAAAAAAAGAATTGTTGCTCTACATCAAGATGGCCTAGGCTATAAGAAGATTGCGAAGACTCTGAAACTGAGCTGCAGCACGGTGGCCAAGACCATACAGCGGTTTAAGAGGACAGGTTCCACTCAGAAAAGGCATTGCCATGGTCAACTAGTCAAGATGAGTGCATGTGCTCAGCGTCATATCCAGAGGTTGTCTTTGGGAAATAGACGTGAGAGTGCTGACACCATTGCTGCAGAGGTTGAAGGGGTGGGGGGTCAGCCTGTCAGTGCTCTGACCATGTGCTGCAAACTGCATCAAATTGATCTGCATGGCTGTCGTCCCAGAAGGAAGCCTCTTCTAAAGATGATGCACAAGAAAGCCTGCAAACAGTTTGCTGAAGACAAGCAGACTAAGGACATAGATTACTGGAACCATGTCCTGTGGTCTGATGAGACCAAGATGAACTTATTTGGTTCAGATGGTGTCATGCATGTGTGGCGGCAACCAGGTGAGGAGTACAAAGACAAGTGTGTCTTGCCTACAGTCAAGCATGGTGGTGGGAGTGTCATAGTCTGGGGCTGCATGAGTGCTGCCGGCACTGGGGAGCTGCAGTTCATTGAGGGAACCATAAATGCCAACATGTACTGTGACATACTGAAGCAGAGGATGATCCCCTCCTTCCGGAGACAGGGCCGCAGGGCAGTATTCCAACATGATAATGACCCCAAACACACCTCCAAGAAGACCACTGCCTTGCTAAAGAAGCTGAGGGTAAAGGTGATGGACTGGCCAAGCATGTCTCCCTATTGAGCATCTGTGGGGCATCCTCAAATGGAAGGAGGAGGAGTGCAAGGTCTCTAACATCCACCAGCTCCGAAATATCGTCATGGAGAAGTGGAAGAGGACTCCAGTGGCAACCTGTGAAGCTCTGGTGAATTCCATGCCAAAGAGGGTTAAGGCACTGCTGGAAAATAATGGTGGCCACACAAACAATTGACACTTTGGGCCCAAATTGGACATTTTCACTTAGGGGTGTACTCACTTTTGTTGGCAGCAGTTTAGACATTAATGGCTGTGTGCAGGGGTGGACTGACAATTCGGGCACTCGGACACTGCCCGAGGGCCCGGGGTCAGTAGGGGGCCCCATGAAATGCCCCTGGTACCTTTTTTATAGGTTTTGAGTGTGGGCAAGGACACAGGGGCCCCATGAGTTGTCAGTCCGCCCCTGGCTGTGTATTGAGTTATTTTGAGGGGACAACAAATTTACACTGTTATACAAGCTGTATACTCACTACTTTACATTGTAGCAAAGTGTCATTTCTTCAGTGTTGTCACATGAAAAGATATAATTAAATATTTACAAAAATGTGAGGGGTGTACTCACTTCTGTTTGATACTGTAGCTCATTGATAACACATTCTGGAGAATTCAGAAAAGCATCAAAGCAGAATTAAACCTACTTTTTTTTTTTTTGTACAGGAGTGCCGTCACCCTAGAACACAGGCAGTATGCTGTAATGTAAACTAAGCTGCATATGTGCAGCTCAGTATGCATTCTATAGGGGATTGTGCACAGGCACATCAGTGTATTTTATTGCTGAAGAGACCTGCATATCTCTTCTGCAACAAAGACCCTGCCTGCAATTTTGTATTTTTAAAGTTTAGTTCTGCTTTAAGTCACTGGGTGGCTGGAGCCTGATGGATAACAGAGAATAGTTTCTCTCTATCGGGTCTGCTTTACTTTTGCTTGACAATGGATGGCGAATTCCAATCCCCTATTGGACTGAATACCAGCATGGACACTGTGATAGATTCATGTTCCTGTTTCTGACATGCAATCGGGCACAAGCACCAACATTTTCAGAGAGGCAGCCCAATGGAATCTAAAGGGTGTCTGAGACAACCTTTTTAAATCCTCCATTATTTTTACTTTCAGTACATTTTTGTTGAAGGTTTTCAAAGAGCATTAACAGTCACAGAAGATTTTGTAGTCATACACTTGATATTTATCAAGATGGTAAGAATGAACACTACAGGGCCACGTTTATCTTCATAGAAATGATGGACACAGGATGCAGTGTACCAAATATACTAAAGGCTTGAACTGATAAGTGTTAGCATAGGTTGTCTCATCAAGGCGAAGGGTGAAATCACTCAGTTGTCGAGCGCTAGTGAATTTTGCATCTTGGAGGGTTCGGTAGTGGCATACAGTGAGGAACAGAAGTATTTGAACACCCTGCGATTTTGCAAGTTCTCCCACTTAGAGATCATGGAGGGGTCTGAAATTCACATTGTAGGTGCATTCCCACTCTGAGAGACAAAATTAAAAAAAAAAAAAAAAAAGTCAGGAAATCACATTGTATGATTTTTAAAGAATTTATTTGTCTTGTACTGCTGAACATAAGTATTTGAACACCCAAGAAACAGCAAGAATTCTGGCTCTCAAAGACCTGTTACTGTGCCTTTAAAAAGTCCACCTCTACTCCACCTATTAATCTAACTTAGTAGCACCTGTCTGAGTTCTTTAAAGACACCTGTCCACCCCACAGTCAGTCGGACACCAACTACTACCATGGGCAAGACTAAAGAGCTGTCAAAAGACACCAGAGACAAAATTGTGAACCTCCACAAGGCTGGAAAGGGCTACGGGGCAATTGCCAAGCAGCTTGGTGAAAATAGATCAACTGTTGGAGCAATTGTTAGAAAATAGAAGAGGCTAAAGACGACTGTCAGTCTCCCTCGGAC